GTTTCCCGCTGGCTGCCAGGGTAGCCCGAAGGAAGGCTGCTGCGGTCTGTAGGTTTTAGTGACTGCACGCTTTTCACGGGAATACTGCTTGTAACGAGCTTTTGGCTGCTCGTCCGGGCTGGAAGAAGACTCTCTCTTGGGTCAAGCCTTGCCAGTCAGACTCTGGTGAGGCTAGTGAAATCGCTATCGCGTACCGACGCTCTCTTCAGCCACTGCTATTTTGGTTGAGGAAAGCTCTTCGCAGTCCATCTTGTTCCCTGAGTCTGCCCCCATCAAATCCCTGAGCAGCAATTTCTAGAAAACACCCTATGTAAAATCTTTTTTTTTTTTTTTTTTTTAAGAAGCAGATGAAGGAAAAGGAGCTGTACGCAGCTAGATAGTGTTTTGCAGTGGACCCAGAACATCTTTCTGAGTTGGAAAGACCAGCCAAGGGGGCTGACAATTAAAAGGATGTGCGGCTGTGCCTGTGGGGAGGATCAGCCCCAAAGCCCAAGTTAGATTACTTGAAATAAAAGGAATCTGTAAAACGCCTTTGGGGAAATAGAGGGAATGTATAGCAGAGGAGAGGGATCCCACCTGGAATCTGAATCAAACAAGACTTTTCCTGTGACAAAGTTTGAGTTTAGTACTCTCAGTACCAAACCTGATGAGAGGGGAAGCCAACGTGAGCTTTGCTAATAGAAACGCTGTTGCTGCACGCCTGCCTCTGTTCCAGGAAGGGGCTACTGAGGCTGCATTTTTTTAGGGTCTATTTAGTCCCCTATGTTTGGACAGGCGACCGAGAAATAAACTGGGGAACTGTGACTGCTCATTAGTAACTACTGACCAAAGCACTGTCTCTGCTTGTCTGCTAATTGTCTCTTCCTGACAATTTTTAATATTTTCTGTTGAAGTCCTGGTAAGTTGTGAGGATATAAAAGCAATTTTTGAGGCTGTCTTGGGTATATCATAGTAATTTATTTCCTAGAAAACTGAGATAGGTTAGGCTGTATAATGACATAGTGATTTGATATTTGACAGGCAAATAGAAAAGTAAAAAAAAAAATCTAGATATCTGATAACTAAATACCTAAAGCTATGGTATGCAAGAAATCAGATAAGTAATTTTGTTACTGTTTGAGGAACATATTGAAGTATGGGTTCATCTGATACAGTGATTTTTTTTTTCCTTTCTTTAGTTTATACGCCAACATTCCTAATTCTTTGTGCTTTCAGATGTCCAAGGAAGGTTAGGTCAGGTCATATACCGATAGTTGGATTTGCGGAGGAAGAGGTTGAGTTTTCCTCAAACACAAATGTGTGTATGTGTTTTGATATCTGTGGCTCAATCTTTTTAAAAAAATAAATCATCTGTGTTCGTCACTTATTCGTTTGCACTTCCTCTGCTGGATTTAATTGCAAATAGCAGAAAGCAGTAAATCATACCTTTCTTTGCATCTTTCCAAGTTACTTTGATCATGGTGAATAAACAGAGGGTCACTCTGTTTCTGTTTCAGCTTGGCAGTATAGAGGCTGGCTCGAGTGTTTGAAAAGGTTTATTAGAAAGTTAAAATAAACTAAAAATCTTCTGAACACTCTGGGTTCAATAGTTAAAGCTGTAAGAAGAACCTTGTCCATCTTGTCAGATTAAAGTTTTTAAAAAATCTAGGGTTTTACTGCTCAGGCTTAATCCCCAAATCTAGATTTTTGTAGTATTATGTTTTGCAGGCTTACCAAAAGTGTTTTTAAGTGGAACTTTCCAAGCAACCTTTTTTAGTATTTCTGAACTTTCCTATGTAGAAAATACTTTGTAGTTATATGAGGAACTTAAATCTCAGTTCTTCAAAACAATCCAAATGTGCACGTGTACAGTTTTCCTGAACCTACTCCAGTTTTACTCATGGAGACTATTTACAGCATAAAAAGGAAAGTACGTGTTTATGTCACTGTGAAATTAGGGTCACTGTAGAAACTGATTATATACAAAAAAGAAGTATGAAGTCGTGAGTATGAACACAGCTTTGATGTCATGGTAAGGACACTGACTGTTGTTATGCAGCTGAGCTTTTGAGCACAGCACTGATCCCCATGTTAAGTTAATTCTGTTATTGACTACTACCAATATGAACAGAGACCAAGTAACTGGGAACTGACGTTTCCAGCCTCATTTGTTTGCTCAGCTATTAAAACAACATAAGAAACTGTAAGAGTGCTTGTTCTGGAGTGTGTGGTGTTCTCTAACATGGTTCTTTATAGCACTTACTAAGTTATTCCTTTGAGTTTATCTACGTTAAGATAAAATAGTTATTATTTGAACAAGGCGGCCATGAATCATTTTATTATTGTTATGTCTTCTAAAACTTGAACTATAACTATTTCTCTTTCTCGTCCTAGCTGTAAAAGACCCTACAGCTGTGGAAAGAGCAAATTTACTGAACATGGCTAAATTGAGTATCAAAGGACTCATTGAATCAGCTTTGAGCTTTGGTCGTACTCTGGATTCTGACTACCCTCCTTTGCAGCAGTTCTTTGTTGTCATGGAACACTGCCTGAAGCATGGCCTTAAAGGTGTGGTAACTGTTCTAGCTGCATGTTTCTCATACAAGGCTTAACGTTTTTCCCTGGTTGTTTCATGTATGAGATAAAATCATTCTGCCTTGTGTTGCTTTAAAAAGTAAATAAAATACATAAGTTGTTGCCTTTTGTAATCAATGTAATTACTTTTAGTACTTTACAACATACACTTCTACATTTACCAACTTTTTTCTTTTGTAAACCGTTTGTTATTGTAAATGATCGAGGGATTACCGGAACTGCAGATGTTACTTACGTCTTTAGTTAGCTGCACTTTAGTTAGCCGTATTAGTTGAGTTCCAGTAGCAGCAATTTTATAGTCGCACCAAAGTAATTCTTAAGATTGCTTCTGACACTGGTGAATTGACTGCTTATTTTGAAGGAAGCTACTCCAGTAAATTAAATTAACTCAGCTATTGTATTTTCCTTTTGCTAGTAAGAAAATCCTTTTTAAGTTACAATAAAACCATCTGGGGTCCTCTGGAACTTGTGGAGAAGTTATATCCAGAAGCAGAGGAAATAGCAGCAAGTGTCAGAGATTTACCTGGCCTCAAGTAAGTTGTAATGGTAAAATATAGCAGGAACATATAGGAGCTGAATCAGAATGTACAGATGTCTACAAATTTCATTTCACATTAATGAAGCTTTTGAATAGCTAGCATAAAATATTGGGGGAAAGCATAGGTGATGTGTTTTGCAGGAAACAGCTGAAAATAGTAAGATTCTTCTGTTTCTTTTTTTCTTTTTTTCTTTTTTTTATATCCGTGGGAGAATTTTCTGAATGTTGGGCAAAAACCCTCTAAAAAGGAATGGGTTATGTAATGAGCAGTTCCTAAACTAGAACTGTGGCAAACACGTGAGTTCAATCAGCTAAGGTTGTATAAAAACAAAAGGTATAATACTGAAAGAGAAAGAATTAGGCCAGCTCTTTTGATGCTTGTGGTAGCATCCTGCAATGTAGGATCCTTCTCAAATATAAATTTCTACTGTAGAATACAGTCTCTTCATCCCTCTGCACTCCGCTTTTGTATTTAGCATTATAATTGGCTGTCCATTAAATTCCAGAAAGGTTTGGTTACCTTGTGATTGGTTATATGACAGTGTAGGAGTTTATTTATTTGCTGCTTTGGACCCTGTCTGAAGTGCAAAGGTACATAAATTATTATCTTCTCTTGTGTCAGGCTGGATGAAATAGCAGGATTTGCCGAGTATCAAACTTGCTGTCTTGATACAATGTATGTTTCTTTTTCATTTTTGTGCTTGCTGCTTTCTGAGCGTACAGGCCCTAGAAGAGGAGGCTGTAAATGTCTAAGTTTTAGTTCATTGGATATTCATGTTAGCCAGTTAGATGCATTCTCATCCTTTTTGAAATGTCTGTCTAAGATATCCCTTTACAAATTTAGGGACATTATTTACCGCTAGAATTCAGTATATGTAGACCCAGAGAACTGGATTGGGAAGGCAAGCCTCCCAAGTAGCAGACATTCGGTTACTTTTCTCATAGTACCTCTGAAGACTATAAAGGAGTTGCAGAAGGGGATCTGAGCTGTTGTAGGCACTTTACTTCAGCTAGACACAGGACTTTCAAGATCATCTTCACAGGCACTGTCAGGTTAAGAGTGTGTTTACAGGATAAAAACACCACTCTTAAGAATTCTTTCCATCCCGCTAATGGTGCGTTGTGTGAAAACAGAGTACTTTTACATTCAACTTTCTACACGCTGTTGTATGTTCTCACTGTCCAGGCAAAGCAATTAAATTAACTGGCAGTGGCAGGCTCTTGTGCTTTTTCTCTACCAGTTCCTTCTAGGGTCTGCTCCTAAGCTCTTTTAAGTTGGTGAAAAATTTTCGGATGCTTTCTGAAAGTTTTGAATCAAAGCCTAGAAGTTACATCTTCACTGGCTGTAGTTGCTTAACTAATAGTTTAAAATAACCTTGCAAAAATCTCAATTGCTCAGTCAGTAGACTGATAAGAAAATTAAGACAGTAAATTAATCAATATATTGTTAGTATTGGACTATCTCTTCTCCATCCTCCCTTTGCAGGACACCGCTGGGCCGTGCCCGTGCCTGGTTACGGTTAGCACTAATGCAAAAGAAAATGGCTGATTATCTTCGCTGCTTAATCATTCAGAGAGATCTTCTCAGGTAAACGATTAAGTAGATTTTGTTATAGAGTTGTATTTTAGAGCTGTGGTCTCCTGGACAAATATTGCTATATTCTGTTTGCTACTTTTTGATGTATCCGTAGTGTAGCAAGACCCAGTTTTTGGCCTGTGGCCTGATTTTTTTTCCAGTGCTCAGGGCAGAGGGACCAAACACTACTGGGTCATCAAGACTGGGGGACAGCTGACAAGTGAAGAGATGATGTTCTGAGGGAAACCTCATCATGGTAGAGAGCCCTTCTGCAACATGCCTGACTGTTCTTTCATGGGTGAGGGTGATGGGGAAGTGCTCCCTCTTCATTCCTTGGCCATGCAGAAAGGTGGACTAGAAACCTCTGGAGAGGCGAAGAATTCACCCCTACCATATGCATAGTTTGCTACCAAGCAACCGTTGCATGGAGGACTAGTGCCTTGAAATTTCCTCTCCTTTCACTTTTCTAAAACTGGCATTGTTCTGGCATACTCAGCTTTACATTCTGTTATGCCCTATATAACTTCCTATTTGTGGTTGGGGTGGTTGAAGCACAAAGGGGAAAAAGGACTTGTCATCTTCATTGCCCTTCTGTAAGCTATGCATATCTAATCTCTTTTTATGGCTGCTTTAATTTCAAGCATGTATTCATTAAAGTCCAGAACTTTTTTGCACGTGAGGTAAAATTTTTTTTTTTCCAGCATGTTCTAGCATTTCTTAACAGCATAAGAATGGTCTGAGTCAGTTTGGCCAAACATCCATCTATTGAGCATACTCTCCAAGACTGGCTAATAGCAAGTGTATAGGGAAGAGTTTTTTGTGAGGGCAGAGGGGCAAGATGACTCTTACCCCCAAAGATGCCGAACCTTCCGTCAGCTTGTGACTCAGCTTTCTTGAGGCAAAGCTAGTGTTTTTGTTTTTAATAGCCTCTGAGACAGACCATTTACTTTCTAGTTTTAAATATTCATGGTGAACTCAAGGTATGGGCAGAGCCAGTTCATCTCTAAGAACATTGGAGTAAGGCTAAAGTAAGAGAAACAATTCATGTTTAGAAGTTACTTACTATTAATTTATCATATGTAAATTAACTAAATTCCACAGTATAACAATTTGATGCAATTCTTATTTAACAGTGAATTTTATGAATATCATGCACTAATGATGGAGGAAGAAGGAGCGGTTATTGTTGGGCTGTTAGTTGGGTTAAATGTGATAGATGCTAACCTATGTGTAAAGGGAGAAGACCTAGATTCACAAGTAAGTCAATACAGGTAAAGTAATGTACATGTGGTCCGTAAGATTTTTATGTGCAGTAGTTTTGGTTACTCCAGACTTGTGACTGACTAGAACTTCTAGTAGAGATTTTTTACAAAAACTTGCTTTACATAATGTAATGAAGAGCTATAAGAGGGTGACTGCTTTCAGTCTACAAAGTGAGACTCGTTTCATAGAATCACAGAATGGTTGAAGTTGGAAGGGACCTCTGGAGATCATCTAGTCCAACCCCTCTGCTCAAGCAGCGTCACCTAGAACACGTTGCCCAGGACCCCATCCAGGCACCTTATGAATATCTCCAAGGGTGGAGAGTCCACAACCTCTCTGGGCAGCCTGTGCCAGCGCTCAGTCACCTGCACAGTAAACAAGTTTTTCCTCATGTGCAGGTGGAATTTCCTGTGTTTGTGCCGGTTGCCTCTCCTTCTGTCACTGGGCACCACTGAAAAGGTGGTGTGAAGGTGCCACCTTCTTCACACCCTCCCTGCAGATGCTTAAACACACTGACCAGATCTCCCCTGAGCCTTCTCTTCTCCAGGCTGAACAGGCCCAGCTCCCTCAGCCTTTCCTCATAGGAGAGATGCTCCAGTCCCTTAAGCGTCTTTGTAGCCCTTCACTGGACGCGCTCCAGGAGCTCCATGTCCCTCTTGTACTGGGGAGCCCAGAACTGGACACAGCACTCCAGGTGTGGCCTCCCCAGGACTGAGTAGAGGGGCAGGATCACCTCTCCCGACCTGCTGGCAACACTCATTCCTAACGCACCCCCAGGATTCCGCTGGCCGCCTTTGCTGCAAGGGCACATTGCTGCCTCACGGTCAACTTGTTGTCCATCAGGACGCCCAGGTCCTTCTCTGCAGAGCTGCTTTCCAGCAGGTCAGCCCCTAGCCTCTACTGGTGCATGGGATTATTCCTCCCCAGGTACAGGACTCTGCCCTTGCCTTTGCTGAACTTCATGAGGTTGATTTTTTCCCATCTCTCCAGCCTGTCGAGATCCTTCTGAATGGCAGGGTAGCCCTCTGGTGTATCAACCACTCCTCCTAGTTTTATGTCATCAACAGTAGCATTTCAGTAGCATTCCTCTTCCTTTGCGAGCTGTTTTGACTTCAAACTCTGTTTTTGTTTTTTCCATAAAAATCTTAACAAGATATTATCAAAGGCAGATGCACAAGTATTTATGTGTGTGTATATATACACACATGTATGTGTGCATGTGTATGCATATATACTTAGTCTCTGTTCAACCCTAGTAATTCTTGTCCAACTTTTTGGAAAAATTCTTAGCAGTTTAAGTGATTATTATTGTGTTTCAGCATATATTTGATGAAAAAGCAATTTCTATGGCAAAGAAAGGCTATGACTAGTTAAGTATGTGTGTTATTGAATCATAGGGCTGACTTGCCTTTGATTATTCCTTCTAATTACTACCTAATGTTTTAGGCACCGATCTTACATACCATAAGACATAGGCAGCGTTGAAAAGACTGTAATTCCAGAAGACTTATCGATATGCTCTTCTCAGTATTGAGAATTAAATGTGTGTATTACAAAATAGCTATTGCTAGCTACGTCTTTGTTATCTAGGTAGGTCACTTGGTGGCTTTCTTGTATGAGGGGAGGTAAAACTTATTTTCAGAAGGTAATAGTGGCTGTCCGGATGAGTGTTTACAGTAATTCTGTTTGTGAAAAGTAGTGCAAGTAAGGCATGTTCCTCAGGGAAGCCAGAAGAAACAAGCAGTAGTGAGCAAAAAGGGAGACTTGTGAAGGATGATGGATGTCACATCCAGGAGCATAGAAATAGTGTTAGAAGAAAACTGTTTGATGGGGAAACGTGTGTACACACATATGGAGGTTATATATATTAGAAACTTTTGGATGACAGACTTTTATAAAAGATATGGAAGGAACAAGTGAAAAACAATATAGGAATCAAAGAGGAGAGCGTCATACAAGCCAAGAAAGTGCTATACTTAACAAGTCAGTTATATTTGAAAGCTAAAGGGAGCTCAAGAAGGAAACAGGTAGATTAGAGAGACTGAAATACGTTTATGAAGAGTTTGTTAGAGGCAAGAAGGGAGCAGTATCAGTAAAGCAAATGGGGCTAAGTATTTATAGAGGTTCATGGATAGAGGTGGAAGCAGAACTCATCATAATGTCATTTATAGCATATATGATTAAATGAAAGTCTTCTTGTAAGTTCTTGACTAAACTCAGTCAAATATAAGTCATCTTTTCTTAGTACCGAAACAGATTCAGTTCATTGCATGTTTGTTTTGTTTCAAAGGGAAAATTCTTAACTAATATGTGAGACTACTTTTTTTTAAAAGAATTGTAAAAATGTTACTGTTATTTTGTGCTTCAGTTAAATGGATCAATCTGAGAAAAGCTGGTGTAACTGAGATTTTAGTAATTACGTAGATACAAAACCATGAATAACAGTAGCAGTTACTTGTATAGTATGAAACTCTGTTTTCTTTCCCATAGGTTGGGGTGATTGATTTCTCTATGTATTTAAAGAGTGATGACGACATTGGGGGTAAGGAAAGGTATGTTCTCCCCAAATACCTCTGATTTGCTTATTAATAAATTATTTCTTGGATGGTGTCCTCCTCTTTGTAGAGATAAGTCAGGTTCCCAAGAGATGAAGTTTCCTAATCTCACAGTCTTGAGAAAGATCGTGCAGTACATTGTTCTGTATTACTAGTTAGTTGGCACGATGTTTGTACCCTGTAGCAAGCCAGAGCAACGTCACCTATTTCCTTTACCTGATGGCCAATGTTGGAGAGTTTCAGGATGGCTGTGTAAAGCCATCTTGCCAAAGATGCCAAGAACCTGTCCAAAAAAAAAAAAAAAAAAAAAGAAAAAGCCAAAGAACCTGCTCACATTTAAGCCCTCAGCTTGCGTTTTAGTCAGTATTTCAAAGAACCAAACTTATGGTAAGGTGAATAAATGTGCTTTTTATTTTGAGACTGTATATTCTTAATGCTTTATGTATAATAATTGGATGTTGCATATGATAGATGCATCTATTTTCAGTACATATGACATATGTCATTTTGTTAAAGCTCATTTTATAATGTTCTTGCTTTAGAAATGTCCAGATTGCTGCAATTTTGGACCAAAAGAATTATGTTGAAGAACTAAACAGACAACTAAAGTAAGTATTACTTTGAAGTGTGCATGTTAGTCTAGGTTTCTGGGTAAAACACCTCCGCCTCCTTTTATACCATAGTTTTGTGAGCAAGAACTTCAGGGAAACGGGTAAAATTCTTTCAGGATGCAGCGATGTTGGAAAGGATGCGCTCTTTTTTGGAGAGACTGAGGGGAGGAAGTCTGTGGTTTTCATGCTTTTATTTTTGATAGTCAGAACCTTTAGTCTTTAGTGACTGAAAAATACCAGACCAAAACTGTCAAAGGTACTTGAGATTCAGAGCTGCACAGGAACAAGCTAGGTGTGGATGTGTTGTCGGAATTCCATTTTTAACTGCATTCCACTCAAGAGTTTTGAGCAAGTATTATTGAATGTTCTGGATGAATTCACGTATTTTTGTTTCTTTGTCTTTCATAATATTTTAGTTTGTAGCCTTAATGGTAAGGATCTAATGTTTAGTTCCACAACTGAATGGATGCACTGGTCGCTGGAAACTACTTACGTGTTATGCACTGGTCGCTGGAAACTACTTACGTGTTATGGGTTGTGGTTCTCATAAAAAACGTAATCTTCAGAAAAGCAGCATTAGCTGCTTAATAGCCTGTTGTAAATGAAGAAAGTCAGTGCCCTGAGGTGCCCTTTTCTTTCCACTTCTGCTCGCTTTGGTGGGTGGAGTAAACCTAGTCCACCAACATGCTTGTTATTGTGAAAAGAGAGGAAGAGTGGTTGTAAATATCTGAAGAGTATTGTACAAAAGGAAGTAATTCAAGAAGTTAAAGAAAAAAAGCACAAAAACTGCTTCTGTAGGATCTATAGCATAGCTGATCTTCTTGCTTCCCTTTTGAAACAAAGTAGTATTTTTTCATTTTGAATGCTGATAATCCTGATTATTAGTTACTAAATTGCTTCAATGGTGGTACAGGTACCCTGATCTGGAATTGTGCCAGTCACTGAACAGAAACCTCCAACAAGACACAGTATCAAGTATATAGTAGTACATCAAATACAAGCCAAATGGAAGTAAGTTAAGGAGGAGAGAACAACTGTCACAAACAAGAACAGTGGTGGTTGTGTAATGATAGCTATCGATGTCCCAGTGAGCCTGTATATTTAGAATATTCTTGTACACTGGTTTATGCATGGAACTATTGCAGACTAGCAGCTGAACAGTTCTCCTCTTTTATTTCAGATCAGCTGCTCCTCTCCACACATCATAAACTGCATTAATGTCTTCTACCTAGCCATTCTTAATGAACTGGTAACTTTCTGAGGGCACCACAGTAGAAATAGGGGGAAAAGGAAAGGATGTTACAGAACAGATTTTTTCTGTGCATAAAGGTCAGCCTAGAAGAATGTGCTTACAGCAGAAATGGACAGTCAGGTAATAAGAGGAGGCTTGGTCAAAGGATGTTGTTTAGTAAAATAAAAAGCACACAAATAGAAAGGAGTAAAATTCTGAAGAGTCCTACAAGTGAAAGCAAGAAGCAGCAAAAAAGAGGGAGCCTGAGAATAAATTTCAAAAAAGGTGGAGAAGCAAATGATTTTATAAAAGAAAGTGAATTTCAGAGGAAGCGATGATGTAGTGGTCATATACTGTTGAGAATCTGGAGAAGGGTTTTCATTATGGGGGGAGGGGGGGAAATTCGAGAAGGCTGCAAACCCTTTTGAGGGAACTCTAGAATTTGGATACAGTATAGCTGTGAGAATAGAGGGAGAAATGCAAAGTCACACCCAACCATGAGCTAAGTGACAGGGATGACATTGGGAGTTCGGAAGAAGCGTATAAATATTCAACAAAGGAGACAAATTTTCATACATTAGGAAAACCTCAAACAATGTGCACAAACCTGTTACTGCTTACCATTTATTGTTATACGTTGCATTAAAGCTTTTGAGCTTGATTGAATGAGTTTTAATGTAATTTTGAATATTGATTTCTTTCTTTCTTTCAGTAGCACAGTTAACAGCCTACATGCAAGAGTTGATTCATTAGAGAAATCAAACACTAAACTGATTGAAGAGGTATTATTAGTAATGTATAATACATATTATTTACTCTCAAACATTTTTTTATTAAAATATTTAAATTATTTTAATCTACACAAGTACTGCATATGTTCTTTATAGTTTGACGTGAAGAAAAGGTGCAGTAGTTGCAGGGATTTGAAGTCAGCTTCCCTTGGTAACATGCAGCATTAATACATGCATTCTGTAGAACATTAGTTTCTCACTGGCAACTCAAACAGAAAAGAAAGCTTTCTTAGTACCAGCTGTCAGTCCAATTTTGTGCAGTTGACTAGTCCATAATGGATGAAACCAGCTACTACATAAGAGAGTGAAAGTAGTTCAACAAGCAATTTCTGTTGGTTCTTAGCTTTAACTAAGGAATGCTTTCTTGTTCGCTTACTGTATGCTTGTATGCAGTTTTTGGGTTTGTGTAACTCTTTTGTATTTATACTCTTTTGTATTTATGTCTAACTGCTTTTGTACTTATATCCTAGATTTTTAGCATGTATTTGGTGCTTGACTAGATTTCAGTATATTTAGCTTCATGAAAGAGAGTGTGCCTTTTTATTTTTTAACCCAAACTACTTGAGCAGTACTTAATGAAGTAGAAAATTGAAATATCTAAATTCAGCTGTTGAAGAGATAGCTAGCTTACTCTGGGTATTAATGTATTCAGATAGAGGAAAATGTTTGAATGCCAATTCTCACAGTTTTCTGGTTCTTTTACAAGTCTTCATCTCCAGCTGTCCACTTATTTTGATCAGCTGCCTTATAATCCTGAGAATAAGGTGTATATTACAGGCCCCAGCTATAATGTTTCCTCTTTTGTACATTTTTTTCTCTTATCTGTGAGGGCTTGGCTTATGTAAATTGCTGCATGTGATACGTTAAGATGTCCAAAAAGAACAAAACTAGGTATATTTGAATCCAAATAAAAAGAAAAACATTCAGATGAGGAAAGGGGATTGAGGGTTTCTAATCCGTAAGGAAGCAATGACAAGAAAGCATATACTTCTTTAGCAGACGTAAAATAATAAAGTACCTTGGGTATATGTACTGTTGTGTAATAAGAGATTCCCATTCCTAAAGACAGGAGCTTTATGTTTTCTTTAAAAGGAGAATAAAACCTTTATTTGGTAGACTGAGAGAATAGGACAGAGAATATCTTGGTCTTGCATGCATTAGAATATTTTGGTTTTATTTTTGTCTGCAGAAAAATGGTCGTACTCTTTATTTCTTATTTTTATTTTAGCTAGCGATAGCCAAAAACAATATAATTAAACTTCAGGAAGAAAACCATCAATTAAGGAGTGAAAATACACTTATTTTAATGAAAACACAGCATCATCTAGAGGTATGCTAGTTTTACTATATTTATAGTAGTGTGATTCATTGTCATTTGAATGTTCTTACATGGCTAGTAGTGGCTGAGCCAAACTTAAAGCAACCTATATTGCAGAAAGGACATACTAGATCTGGAAAGTTTATAATGGTATAAATGTATAGAAATTATGTGAGCCTAGGTTATTTTATTACCACATGCAGATGTTATAGCATTTTTCCTTGTTTTCTTTCTTTTTGTCTTCCCAGTTGTCCTTTTTGCTTTAAATTGTCAGCTATGTCTAAGGCCGTTTAAGACAATATTATCTAGACATTTTGTAAAAACTCTGTGGGTTTTGGTTGGCAAGCTGTTTGTTCTGACCTGTCTCATTATCTGAACAATTTGTCATTAGGAGTAATTGTATATACAATTGCTTAACAGCTTTTTTTTTTTTTTTTCCTTTTTAAGCTATAACTTGTAGCTCCTAGTTAAGCTATAACTTGTAGCTCCTTATATAACTTCCTGTATATTTTACAGGATAATTGGTAAAAGCACAGGTTAAGCAGATGTTTGGATTGCTCGGGTAATAAAAGATTGTTGTGTGTTGAAGTGAAGAGGATTATATTGTAGAACAGTTGTTTATTTTGCTAGATTTACTCAATGAATTCCCATTGTAAAACTGATGGGCACGTAGCAGAAACAGAAGCTCCTTCCCTGTCTGTATTATGCTTGGAGACTGTATGTTTAAGCATTTTTTGTACTGGTATTAAATTTATTTATCAAATGAATTTCTAAACTTGAAATTAAAAAGATTAATTCTTCATATCTTCATAGGTAACTAAAGTGGATGTTGAAGCAGAGCTTCAGACATACAAACACTCCAGACAGGGTTTAGATGAAATGTACAATGAAGCACGTAGGCAACTTCGAGAAGAATCACAGCTTCGACAAGTGAGTACTCTCTTTCTAGAAGTACATAGCATTTCTAGAAGTTTGTTTGAGAAAAGTCAGTATATAAATATTTCTAGTTTTCACAGAATCACAGAATGGTTTAGGTTGGAAGGGACCTCTGGAGACCATCCAGTCCAACCTCCCTGCTCAAGCAGGATCCTCTAGAGCATATTGCCCAGGGTCACATCCAGACGGGTTTTGAATATCTCCAGGGAAGGAGACTCCACTACCTCTCTGGGCAACCTGTTCCAATGCTCTGGGTTTGCTTTTGTTCCAGTTAGATCTTGCCCTTAATCCAGAGTGTTGTTTCTTTAACTGTATGCTATAAAAGGTTTTTCAAACGCAGCAACCAATACATTAATGTTTCTGTAACAATGTTGTTAAAGCATAGCAGAGAAAACGCAGTTTATTTGAGAACATTGTAGGTAAGTTGTTAGCAGTACTATATGCATAGTTTTGTATATTTGTATGTTAAATATTTCTTGCAAAAAAAGAAGTACTTTAGTTCTAGTTTTGTAATTAATAATTAGCCAACTCTTTATAAGAAATTATCCTGCTGGTGTTGCATAATGTGAGGTATCTTCTCCCATGATTTAAAAAAAGGAGAAAAAAAAACACACACCAGTCACTAAGTACATGAGTATAATGTTTATATAGCGGGTTTTTTTTTTTTTTGCCTAATTGTAGAGGGTTAGCAGAGAGTTAGCTTTTGTCTTTTTCAAAGCAGTAGATAATGTTGTATAATTGTTCAAAGATTCTGCATTGCATTTTGTTTGTGTTGTATAGGACATGGAGAATGAGCTAATGGTTCAAGTTAGTATGAAACATGAGATAGAACTTGCCATGAAGTTGCTGGAGAAGGACATCCATGAGAAACAGGATACTCTCATAGGCCTTCGACAGCAGCTTGATGAAGTTAAAGCAATTAACATGGAAATGTACCAAAAGCTGCAGGTAAAGGAACAGTCTTTTGTTAAACTGATGAAATGCCTTTGATCAAAGAATGAGATGGATTACCCTTTTCTTTAATTAAACGCTGCTGTTTCCTTAATTTTTAGTTTCTTTCTGCTTCTTAGATCAACTTGATGGAAACATTACTTCACACAAAGCAGTTTTTAAGGCAGTCAGTATTATTGGAATTCTAGAAGACCATGAGCATAAGAGCATGGCCTGTTAACATCCCCTGTGAAACAGGGAGAGTAATGCTCTATCTAATGACATTCATGCCTGTGTGGTACAAAAAAAAGGCAAGAGGCCTATAAAAGTTGCAGGCAGGTGGTGGTTTGTTAAAGAGGAGATCTGAACATTCAAATTAAGAAAAGGCATTTGGAAAATAAGCTTTTCCCCCTAACTAGAAAAACTAGTTAAAGCTTTTTTTTTTTTTTTTAAATCTGTTAGCAGATTAAGATCTGTATCAATATAATGCTAAAAATATATTTGGGAGAATATGGATCATAGAGACTCAAAATACAAATAGCAAATGACTAAACGCCAAGGAAGTTCAGTGGGTGAATTATTTATGTAGAAGATAATTTTGATTTATGGAACAAGCTTTCAAAAGCAGCACCAGAAAATAGTCAAATTTGTGGCAGAGTGAAGGGAAAAAGTTACAGGACTGCTGCAGAGAGATAAGTGGGACTGTGGACAAGGATGCTACTTTCCACCTCTAACTGGTGTGTGAGGAAACTGGGCTAGGAGGAGAGAAACAGAAAGACAACTGGAAAGAAAAGTAAGAAGGGATGGTTCTTAGATACGTTACACTGTAGTTTTTTGTTTTTCTCTTAAAGCTATACTTTTGCGGACCGTAGATAACACTGGTTTGACTTAATGACATTCAAACCCACTTCCTGGACATTCTCAAATGAGTAAGACGGGGTTAGTCATTCTCAATCTCCCCTATTCAGGGGCCAGCTTATAGTGTTGGCCTGTACAGCAAGGGTAATGCTGTACCTGTAGTTAGATCTACAGCTCTGCAAGCAACTAAAATTGTGAAACATGTTAGTAAAATTCTTAAAATATTTGTCGTGCACAGATGTGAGATCGGATAAGAGATGGAGAATCTTAATAATTTCCAGGACTGGGCATATTGTTTCTTTTTGGTAAGGGTATAATGGGCTACTTAAAAAGATAATCAGTGAATTTAAGTTGAATGGAGACCAAAATGAAAAATGTATTCTTGTTAAATAGTATATATCTTTGCAAAGTATAAGACTGCAAATAAGCTTTAGGCATGAAATTTTGTTCAGGTGTTTTTTGTCAGTTACATTTTTTTTTTAAACTGGAATGTTTAAAAAGAATCAAAACTTGAAGCCATTTTAAAATTTTTTCCTTCAGACGTTGAAGAAAAACCTCCATGAGCTGACAGTGTAACCTACTTCAGTGTTAACTTTTTTTATAATACAGGTTACTGAAGATGCTATGAAAGAAAAGAATGAAATAATTGGTCGATTAGAGGATAAGACTAATCAAATTAATGCAACTATGAAACAACTGGAACAAAGGTACAGGTTCATCTTTGTTTTTCTTCACTCATTTCTCCATCCCCTTCTGTTACTGCATTTCTATACAGTTGCCACTGAAATGTAAATTTCAAGTTGGAAATTTAAAAGAAAAGTTTCTGACACAGCCACTAGTGGTTTACTGTTTGGTTTTTTTCTCATAATAAATTGGTTTATTTTAATCACAAACTTAAAATTTCATTTTTTTTCTCCATCATCTTTCCTCTGATCCTAGGTTTTTGTGCTGATATCAACAGCTGCTCTTTAAGCTGTTTCAAAGCTGTAATTTGTTATCATCTCTTTTTTTCCCCCTCTGAAAGAAATGTAGAAGAAACCAAAGCACTGATCTTGCGTATACTTAAGCGTGCGCTTAATATAAATATTTATGCCTTCGTGGATCACTGCTATGTTTGCTGAAGATACTAAAATTATCAGTTGCTTTAAAAGTGCCATCATCTTCAATGACGTAATGAGTTTCTACACTGAAAGTCTGAGAAGCGAAACACAAATTCCAGTGTGTAAATTTACATTACGGTTAGAGTACATATTTTACATAGTATTAAAATGTTGTTCATATGTGCAATTTAGTGGCCTATATGCAACATGGATCTTTTAAATTGTAAAATGTAACATATCCATAAGCCCTGTCATGTTGGTGTTTGACATGTCGTTTTTTCTTTTAAAATTGATTATGAAAAACATGGTTATGTATTAAAAGATTTAGTGACATGAATATTCTTTTATTGACATCCTTTTTCCCTCTTTTTTCTTTTTCTTTTTATCCTTTGTCCCAATTTGTTTTTACTATTTTATTACTTTCATCTGTCTTTGATTTTTGTCCACTGCATTCATGAAGTGACAAAGATCTGTTAACTCAAACTAGGACTATTGCAATGTCATTTGTCAAATGTGCCAGTAACGAAGCTCAGCACCAGTATAAACTTGTCAAAGATATATCATTCTGAAAGCTCCTCCAGACCTGTTGTATTTAAATAATTACTGCTAAAATAAAACTCAAGAACTGTAAATGTAAAGTTTTAAATATAAAGTGGTATTAGAAATCTTGCACTGTAACTGACCTTAGCTGGGTTCTGTTGTCTTCTGAAGGAACATCATCTCCCATTTCACTTTACCACTCTTTAAAAAAAAAAAAGAAAAAGAAAAAGAAAAGAAAAAGTAAATGCACTTTTAATAAGTAAACAGATGCTAGTTTTCTAATAATGGTTAATCACGTTTTAATTGTCAAACAAAGTTTATTTGGAAAGGTTAGCTCTCGTTACTTTGAGTTCACATTGTCATGACCTTTGTTTCTAATCTAGTGATTTTTCCTTTTCTTTATTGTCCTAATAGTTTTAAAAAGTAACCCTTTTGACTGGTGTTTCCCTTCTGCCCTGCTTATTTCTTTCACTTTTAGGCTGTGTTTATCCCAAAAGCATGCTCTCTCTTGGGTCTTTTGGTTGTAACTAGCGCCATTTTCCTAAACGGTGTGGGTTTTCTTTTTAAGCATTATGCTAGAATGATATATTAAAAAAGGGGGAGGGGGAAGAAGGCTAAAAGTATATATGTTCTGTATGTACAGTGGAAGGATTACAGGGTTTGGGGATAAAACAACTAAAGCACAATTCTGTTTCACTGAAGTGGAGTGGAATAAAATATTTTCATAGGAATCCAGGCAGGAAGGGTTGTGCACTCTGGCAAATTTTGTAGCTGTAACTCCTACTTAGAACAGCTGCATTGGGGTAGCTACAGTGGAAGTTGTAGTAATAGGCAGGATTTGCATTTAGGGCGCAGGTCTTGAGCTTGTCTAACTTGTGTGTCAGCTAAGTGTCTTGCCTGTCTGTGGATATGTCTATGTTGTAGTCATAACCTGTGGCTTTGCCCAACCCATTTTCCCTCCTTCCACCCCTCATCAGGCATGCTTTATGAATCTTATTACTGCTTTGAGTTGCTGCTTGCACGCACTGCTGATACAGATGTACTTTATTTGGACATTTAATCTGCATGCAGGAGAAGCATGCAGGTAAGAGAATGTAGTTGCGCTTGATGTGCTTCCTACTATTTCCCCTGAAGTGTGGAGGAAAGTTCATTGGGGGCGAATCTTTGAGAACTTCAGCAGCAGGGTTTGCAAAGGTGGAGGCCAGACACAGCAATAGAGGAAGGGCTTCCGCTCCATGGTTATATGTTGTGTTCTTCCTTGGTTTGGAGTTAGAAAGAGCCTTTAGCACTGATTTGCTTTTTGGGGGAGGGGGATTCCCTATCCTCAAAGAAGGACCCGAAACAGAAACCCCTAGCAAATCAGCAGAGTAGACCATAGCGGAAATGGGAGTGTTAACCACCTCATAGTCGATCTATGCAAACAAGTATCTGCCTCAGTATCATCTGAACAGCAAACACATGCTGTGAACTCAGCACAGCTCTGTATTTGTCCGAGTTACAGCTGCGCAGTTTGCCTTGGTGCTAGTCTAGAGGCTGATGCTGTAGCCTGGGTTGGCGCGCATGTTTCTCAGGTAACAAGAGAAAGATCCCTGTCTGTGTTGGTTGTGGAAATTGCAGTCCAGTTTCTTTTGTAGTTTAGAGAAGGCTTTAACTTACTTTGCTTTTCCTGTCTTGTGTAGCTTCCTTCAGCCTCTTTTGCCCTGTGAATTGACCCTATACGTTTGTTTTGGCCCTCTTTGCCCTGCAATTACAAGTAGGACTGGGGATATTGTCAAAACAGCTGTTACAGTTGAATGGGATAGTAAAAGCTTTAAGTAGTAGTATAATTCTAGTCTTTCATCACTTGTTTAATGGCAGTTTTTGGAAACTCCCACTGGTGCAGCTTCATCAGTAGAAGCACAAACGTAGACAGACTGCTGACTCGATTAATTTTTTTAACTGACATTGGGAGTTGGGAGTTACTCTCCATTTAGCTCGCTGCTGGGAAACACAAACTCCAGTAGTGCGAGCAACTGTCTCAGATTTCTCCCATCACTTACCTGAGTGGGCACTTTTTTTTTTTTTTAAACAAGACATTTCAGGTGGAGACACTGAATAGTATTTTGCAGGCTTTTTCATCAAGACAGGTGTAGCTGTGGTAACACAAGTTCCATTTTAGTACCCTTACCTTTATTGCATTACATCCATCTTTTTTTTTTTTTTTTTGGACTGAAGGGATGGTCAAGCAGAGAGAAACCACAATGAATTGATGGATTTCAAGGGCAGGAGGGTGCTAGCTGAAGCAGAAAAACGAATTAGAGTTCTAAAAGAAAAGGTTAAATAAAAAAAACCTGCTTGATTAATCAATTTTGTTTATTTTGTCTATAGTATGGAGCTATTTTAACCAGTGTAAGAATGCATTATTTTTAATGCAGATTATTTAAATTTGTTTAATAATGTGATGTAGTTGAGGTAGTTCTGTAAATGTAGTGGGACCCTTCAGGCTATGTCTTGTTGTATTAGGATAGTTATGTTTTTGCTCTCTGATTGCAGTGCTCTGTATTCAGCCTTATACCTGAATTGTTTTGAGCTATTTTTGCACAACACACGCTCTGCCCTGTCTTAATGGGTGGTTAGTATAAACCAAGTACTTCTACAGGGTTTGTTTAAAACAAAACAAAAAACCTTCCCAAAATAACACATGAACATATGCTTTAAAAAAAAAATGCGTTAAGGTATATGCTTCAATTCTAAAATATGTATCATCATGCTTTGGCATCTGTTATTCATGAGCATAAAATAAAACAGTATTAAGATTTACAGTGATCACTCTCTTACTGTATGAAAAAGAGGAGCTATTCTCTAGGCATTGTATGGTTTTCTTGTTTGAGTTTGTGAGTTCCCCCCCCAGACTTTGTTTTCATTTAGAAATGTTTCTATTTCCCCATTTTTCTTTTATTTGTCTTCTTCACCCTCTACACCCTAGTTCTAGCCTCAGTTTTACCCAAAGTTGATTTGAATTACACCAGATTGCAGCAAGCAGAGAAGGCTCAAATGGAAGCTGAGAATGAGGATGAGAAACTTAAAGAGGAATATGTGAATAAATCTGAAAGACTGCAGAAGGAATTCTCCCAGAAGGAGAGACAGTTGTAAGTATGTCTTTCCCCTTTTGAAAAATACACAGCAGTAAACATTCTGCAATGCAATATGTCCTGTTACAGGACCAGCCTGTACAAGCTGATTGTTGGTAAATGACTTTGAACAAAATGTAAATACTAAAGATGTTGATATTAGCTACTGGCATTGTGGAAGAAAATATGCCGTTCCAAGAAAGTCACACTACCTTTGGGCACTTATAAAACGGTATATAGCTGGAAAAGAGAGAACAACAGTATTTTTTGTGGCCAAAGGGGCCAGCTTAACTTACTAGGAAATTATTATAAGGGGGGAAAGTATGTAATACAGTAATAGTAATCCACACTTTTATCAAAACCCACAAATATGTAACAATATAAACTTAGAGAAATGATGTGAGAATAGTATAACTGATCAGGCTTATGAATAAGGTAAAAATCCTCAATAGTGGTTTAAATAACCACTATGCAGGAAATTTAAAACAAACAAACAAACAAACAAACTCTGCTAGAATCATAAATATAAGAATGTGAAATAAAAGCCAACCTCTGCCCTTTCTCCTGTTAAATCCCTGAGCAGGATTTAACCCAGAGAATGTCCATCCAGCTACCTGTTGTAAGGAAGCTGTCAGGAATAAAAGCAGTTAACATAGATGTGCTGATTTAAATAATTATCTAAAATAAAAAGCTCCCTGGAGGGGCAGGTGTTTTTCCTGTTTGGAAAGATAACAAGTAAATTAAATTTAAGACTGTGCAAATCTGTGGCACTGCAAGGACTGGAGCTTAAAAATTAGTGGTTTCCAGCCTGATGATTAGCCCACCCTGCCTCTCCGTAACTCTGAATGTTAATAAATTTGTTTAACTGCCATGACAAATGTTTACTTTACTACCACAGTCATCTTTACAGATTTTGGCAAAAGAACAGTTCAGACCCCAACTTTAGAATTCTGCAATTCTGAAACCTCAAGGTCATGTTCACTTCTGATCTTTTTCAACCAGATGCTGAGGTAGTGTCCCAAAATGTAAGTCTTTCCTTTAAACATGATTTTGGTTTTTAAACAGGAAAACTAAGTGTGGTTCTCCACCAAAACCCTTGCATGTCTGCTCTCACGTTTTTTCTGCCTGTATTGCATTGGCAGGATTTAGATCTAGAAGCTTGAACAGTGTGCTCTCATCCTTGTTTTCTCTGTAATGTTCTAAAGACTGACTCTTTCAAGTGAAATTGCATCTAGAGTGGATCTTCCATCAGAATAGCCCTAGTTCCTTTAACTGGACTCAAATAGCTATAGCTAACAGAATTTAGATCCCTCTTTATTATTGAACCTCAGCTCTATAGGAAGCTCGCTAAAAACAATCATCCCTCCTAATTCTATTCAAATTTTCATAAGCCTTAGTCTAAAATAGAAGATTCACACCTGAAGATAGAATACAAAATAACTGTTATGAGCACAAGAGATGAACGCAATCATTTTGTGCGTCACCAGTGGCAAGGTGATTTGTTTGCGCTTATTTTGGAAACAAGCCATATAAATTCAAAGGTGGGGGCTTTCTGTTAGGCATGTTTGAAAAGATATTTTAGGATTTTGTGGTTTGTCTACTCCTGGTCCTATTACAAAGGTCAGCTCTTCAAAAGGATGTAAAAGCCTTGATCTTTTTAAACGCACTTTTTTTTTCAAAGCACTTTCTAAATGGTAGTGTTTTCTCTATTACACTCATGTCTAAGGCGTTATGATATTGCTGTGTTATTTCTTTTTTAAAAAATGTCAAGTGATCAGTTGCTTATTATGCTAATAGTATATTGCACCCAGAAATAAATTCATTTTTATTTTTTTAAATGATACTGTTATGCACAGTGATTGTTTTTTGTTTTGCAATTCTAGGCTTCAGCTGGAAACAGATTTGAAAATAGAAAAAGAATGGCGACAAACCTTAGAAGATGATCTTCAGAAGGAAAAAGAAACTATATCTCAGCTCAGAATAGAGACTCAAGAAATAATTAGCCTTAAAAAAGTAAATTCTGCAGTAAAATTTAAAACTTGAGTAGTAATTTAGAAATTGGCTGCAAAACTAATTATGGACTTGTAGAAAGTCTTAAAAATACTATATCTAAGTAGGTAAGAAAAAGTAGATTAATCTATTCTGACACATAGATGAAGAAAATATATTTGGAAAAGTTTTTTTTGTTTTGTTCTTATTTTTCCCTCTGTATCTAGTCCTCAGAACAGAGCTCTGTCCTTTAAGGAAAAATTAAATCCTTATCTTCCATTGTCAGCCATATTGAAGACTCTGTCTTCGTATGGTGGGTCAGAAAGTGCTTCAGGTTCTATCTAACTTGGTATACATGGCTGTGTAATGTTTTCTCTGCAATGAATCATTTTTGCTCCCTTCCTGGAGAAGACTGAAGAAGCAGAAATGCTTTGTCTTTTAGGGTCTAGGAGAAATTAATCTTGGGTTGCTGCTGTTAGAATTAGATTTGGGAATCTTAATAGAGGATAGTGTGATGGACCAATGAATCGTTTGACCTTCTCAGTAAGGTCAGGTTTGGTGAGGAATAGTTTTCTAGGCAGTAAGCGTAAAAAATATTGTTCCCTTTTGTGAATATTTATTTCTTTTAAGGAGTTCCTTAAACTTCAGGAGAAGAACAGGCAATTGAAAAGGATATGTCAAGACCAAGAAGCAGCTCTCCAAGAACTGGCATGCAAGCTGAGCGAGTAATTTCATTTTTCATGATAATTCAAGTTTATACGACAAATATAATCAAGAAAAAAGATAGAACGGCAGTCATGTGAATTACGCTATATAACACAATATTACCTGGTCAGTCATCTAAAAGGGAAAAAAAATATGTCTAGCTAGGTCAGGTCTGTTTACATGCATTTCTGTCATTGGCTGATGGGCTAGCTGTGAAATCATGTGCAATTACAGCACTCTGAACAGAAAACTGTAGTTTAAAAGGACCTCGGAGCGTTAGGAGAAACTTTGCATGTCTCATGAAGGTCCTTCAAAGACTTAAGGAAAACGCAGAAAGAGTTAGCTCAAGTCTTGGTGGGCTTTCCTAAAGAACGCAAGTAGAAGGTAACAGCTGTGGCGTCAGCAGGATAATGTTTATCCTTTTATGAGTAGGGTTTCCTGTCTTTTAGTAATGAAGATTCTCTATCATACCACTGTTTGCTGCAAAGTCTTGAGACTATGTAAGAAATTGTTTTATCAAAAACTTTTCAGGCTACAGTGAGCAATAAGCTCTGAGCACAGCTCTCTGTTGTTACCCTCCACCAGTGTTAGTCTCATTTAATGGTCTTCTAAATAGTTTTGCCAGGACCAGTGTAGGCTTTCCATGCTCTGTAGAATAGCTTAGTATATATACTGTAGCCCCAACGGTTTTGAATGGGTGGGCACTGGATGGCTGCGGGGAGCCTGGTTTCTCCATGAGGCCGTATTATGGTCTTGTACGAGCCCAGGAGTTAAAATTCCTGTTTTGTACCAGTGCTGGGTGCTACCTTTAGGTATATGCACAGAATTAACGCTGGTGCAAGCTTCTCTCATGCATGTAACCTCAAGCACTTTTACAGCCGTTCAAAAAAGGAATTTGAGCTCTTTAAAGATAGCCTTTTGTCTTTGTTTGTATAGCGCTTAGTACAGTGGAGAGTGATACTGATTGCATGTCCTAGATGCCACTTTAATGTAAAACACTAGCTAAAAGTTCATAATACTTAAGTTGGTAAATAGCTAGTGCTTTTAAAGTTGCTAGATAATATGAAAGTTTGAAATGGCATAATCTTATTTTTTTTCAGATCAAAGCTGAAAATAGAAGATATAAAGGAAGCAAACAAGGCATTGCAGGTTAGTTGGATTTGGAAGAAGAAGAAACTTTTTTTTGTTCTCTTTATCATACGTATATTTCTAGCATATCTCTTTATGTTGTTGTGTTAGACTTTATCAGATAAACATATTTACTAGTGGTTTTCCTCCAGGGCCAGGTTTGGTTGAAGGACAAAGAAGCTACACACTGCAAGTTATGCGAAAAGGAATTTTCACTTTCCAAAAGGAAGGTAATTCTCCCAAAAGATTTATTCCAACTTGTTTGCATGTATTATGAGAAAAATGTTCTGTGCTGCATCTCTAAGACGATTAACGTCAACCCTGAGATGAACGCATCAATGTTTTTGAGATGTCTTTCTAGTTCTCTGTTTTGTTTGAGGTTGACTTTGAACACAGTTGGGTCCTCATCTTTAAAGAAACGCTGTCTTTTGGTTCAGTGCCACAGAAGAACATACTTAAAATTTGTTTAACCTACTTTGTGGAATCATCGTCTTAAGCACTTGTCAGCTCTGGCACTGTTAAAATTTACCATATGTGGAAGTCTTTCCCTTTTTTATACAGTAGACAAAAAAAAAAAAAAAAGAAAGGTTGTAAAATAAACTGTGATGTTAATTTCTATGCTTAATTAATGCATGCAAAAATCTTTGTTTTACCTACTTTTTATGTTAAATCTCAGTAGCTGCTTGGCAGAATCATCCATTCCCTACCAACTATCATTGTTTACATGATATTTTTATTTCACGAGGTATGTTAGTTCTTAAACAAGGGGTTGAAAACAATCTGCAAAGCTCGTACGGTCTGTCTAGGATTGCATTATAGATTGGGATTTAGATGATACCGTGATACCATGCTCAGCTCAAAGAAGTGGAAGAAATTGGATTTCAATTTGCTCCATATATTATAGTCTAGCAGGATCTGATTATCATGCACATTTTCAGTGTGAATTTTAACATTTGTCTTAATCTATTTTTCTCCCTTCCCTTCTCCCCATTATTTAGCATCATTGTAGAAATTGTGGTGAGATCTTCTGTAATGCTTGCTCTGACAATGAACTGCCTCTGCCTTCCTCACCAAAGCCTGTTCGCGTCTGTGATTCCTGCCACGCGATACTTATACAGAGGTGCTCTTTTAACGTACCATAAAATCTTTTTACAAAATATTTATCAACTTTTGCTATTTAGCTAATTCTGTAAAAACATAGTAAGTAAAGAATGTATGCAGCACTGTTTCTGGAATTTCAGGTAAGCAGTCTCGAGTTGCGTTTTCAAGGTACTGTAAAGGAGTTAGATGTCTGCTTCCTGTTGAAACACCTTGAGAAAATGGGACTCAAACACCCTTTTGGCTCCTGCAAGGATACCATCCTGAATTACTTCTTTGTTATGTCCAGGAGCTTGCTTAGGAAAACACATTTTATCTAGCCTAAATATAGGGAATAGTTCACACTGATACTTTTCTTCAGCAAATTCTTTAGTCAAATTCAGGGGACACTGAGGAAATGTTGGAAGGCAGCCTGTTGGTTTTCCTCCAAAACATGCGATCAGTAGGATTGTGTTTTGATGCAAAAGGTACATAGCAAATTATTAATGTAGACAACGTATATATGGAAACTGAAATTAATGTAATATTAAGTATATTTACACAGCTGTTAGCAACTCATTTTGAAAAGGCTGGTTTTGTTTGGTTCTGTTTCTTTAAAAGGCGATATTAGCTTATACCAGCAATTTCCGGTGAGGTCCGTGGGAATGGCATATGAAATCAAGGTAGCGTTTAAGCTTTGGGCATTCTTAAATGTGTATTACCTTAATGGAACAAAACAAAAACTTCTGCAAAAATGCAGTGCCATTAATTTCAGAGTAGTGTTTGTCTTTTAATACACGTGCTTAACGTTTTCAGATTTGTGAGAGAACTGCAATATCTTTGTTATATTGAAAATTTAGTATCTTTAGGAGGATAAGTTATTCCTTTGAAAGGTGAGATGTGTTAAATTCTGTTAACTTGTAGTTATTATGAGAAGGAAAAAAATTATTTCATTTCCTTTTCATTGTTCAGCCTGAAAAACCTAAAATTCCAAAAACATTTTAGCTTTGTAGTATCTTTTTAACATTCCATTTCATATTTTATGTTGTTTATTGATATTGTTAATCCCAGGATTTCAAAGGGGATATATCAGTTGTCTTTAAAGTAAGAAAGAATCAAACGGAAGTCTGCATTGATTCTGATATGCAGTCTCGGGTTGGGGGGGAGGGGGAAGAAGACATGTTTTGAGTTATTTTGGCTTTCAGGTTCTTAGAATGTAATTGATCTGTATGTTCTGCCTCCCCCCACCCCCGGCTTTTCCCAAGAGAGTAAAAAGTTAGTGAGATGTGAAACTGTGGTCCTAAATTTGGGACTTAGGCAGACTTCTTTCTTAGATCTGGTCCTTCATATTTGTATGTATTCTTTTTGCAGTGAAAGTGGTCTCAATATCTTGTATGCAATTTTGTAGTTGTAAAACCCTCTGTAACTTTTTTGAATTAATAGTGAAGCTTTTATTCTGATTTTTAGCTGGTAACAGAGTTTTACAATGACAAAAAATATACCAACTAACTCCCTTCTTCCCCTTCTCCCCACCACCTCATCAGTGATTGTTGTGGGAGCTTACTCAAGAGATTCACAAATATTTTTTCCAAACCAGGAGTTTTACTTCGCTGTCCCGATTAGTATAGTCGCACTGATACAAAAGTATTAAACAGTAGCTGTTACGGGAAGGTCTTGTTTATTAAGAGAAGCTGTCTATATTTGTAGATGTAGCTACATTCACCAGAGTAAGATGTCCCTTAAAATACAAACAGAAAATATTTCTGTTTTCTTGCTATAAAGTGATCCTTCGCCTCAACATCAAGCCAGAGTTTCTACTGAGCTACAGCCCTTTCGATTTCAGTCCATTCATGCTGTGAGCCCATAAACCTTAGGGCAAGTGTAAAGGCTGTGCACATTGCCTCTAGTTTAAGGAGAAGGTCAGAGCAGCTTATCTCTGTCCCTGTCTGAACAACCTCTCTAGGAAGAGACAAACTTGAGAGTGACAGCAAGGTTTCTGTCATTGCGTCAACAGAGGCTGGCTGTGTCACAGAGAAGAATCAACAGCCTAGGTGCTTAGGGACCTTCAGTTAATTTTGTGACACCATTTCCCCAGATTGTGTGACAGCTGCTTGACAGAGCTGAGAAGCTGTCTCTGAATTCATGAGAGTAAACTTGAAGTGAAATCTTCCAAGCAGAAATATGCTCACTGATGCCTCTGTAATTTGATAACTGTTTTGAATGCCACAGACACTGATAAATCATTGATATTTAAATGATATACAGTACCAAAGATCAAAAATGCATGCCTTAAAAATGCACGTGACAGTATTAGTCCAATAAGTGACCCAGAGCTCTTTCGGAGGAAGGGAGGGCAATTTAAGAAGGAGATCCAGTGTTAATATATATTAGATGAGTGTCTTAGGCATCAAAGATGATACTTAACCTGTTTTTACAGGGTAGTCTGCAACAAGTCAGATGTAATTCTGCTGCAAAGTTTGCTTGTGATACGCTATTGTGAAGCAAAACTGTGGTAGCTGGTTTTAAATTTAAAAAGGAATATCTGTAACTTAAGTAACGCAATTAATGCAGGTTGTCCAGTATGCTTTCCCTCATTTTCAAGATTTGATACTTCAGAGATTATTGCACTGACACCTGTTTTCTGTAGTCACAGGCATAGAGAGAGATTTTGTCAGATAGGTAAGAAAAAATTGTAGGGTAATAAACAAGTCATCTAAGTGTCAATAGATGATGGAAGGTGTATTTTTCTGAATTATTTTTTAAAATTATAAATGTGACATGTCCAGGTTTCCATTAAGAGAGAGCTGTCCATCAGAAAGTTTTTGCTTCACATTGTCTGTAACCTCAAACAAATTTCTTTGCATTATTTCCATGTAAATCATGTTTTTTCTTAGCTTGTATGCGCAGTCACAGTATGCTGAAAGTACGGTTCTAGCAGCTGAGTGGTTTTGGTGCCAAGAGACACTAGGACTGAATACTAGGAACCACAGATCCTTTCTTGGCTGCCTGCATTGGACAGGAAGGTTCTTTGTTCTTTTGTCACCGTCTTTCTTAAACTTAAAGTTTGTTCCTAAACTTCTAAAACTTATTTTCCCCCTAGGAGAGCTTTTGAGTAAGTATGTCTAGGTCTATCTCACCACTCTTTTTACGTTGGTATTTCGCGGCAATTCTGCCGGAACTAACACCCTTATTCTTCCAGTAGGTAAATAAAGATACATCCTTTAATAAACTGTATTTAGTATTGCCCTGACTTTCACTTCATTGCGCTAGAACCAATTTTTCTTCTTCTTATGTTTATATGATTGGGTCCAACAATGGAATCTCCCTGCTCTGATCTGTACTGGTTAGCAGTAAGCAGAATTATCCTCCCAAATAGTTCCTTCATCCGTGGATTTGGAATATCCCTAGTAACAGGAGCAAGGTGGCATCGAAACAGATCTTTTAACTAGGCTATATAAATCATTCTTGCACTTTGTTCAGCTTAGCTGTGTCATTTGAGGATGGTTATTTAGTTAGTTAATATTCGAAAAACGATACCAACTATTCTTTTAACCCATCAGATGTAGTTGCTTATGTGCTTTTGTAAAGAAAAATGTTTTTAAAATATAACTTTTTGTATAATACAAAGCAAATATCTGTAAATCTGTAAATAGTTTTTGGAAAAATTTAAATATAATTGATCTGCAACTTAACTATGGAAATGTCACTTTATTTAAATTTGTCATTCAGAATGCATTTAGTATTTTATTGTGATGTTTTCAAATTGCTTAGAAAGTCTTTGCGTATGCTGGGGAATGGAGAGCTAATTGCCAATTGCATAACAATGTTAAATGTTTCTCGCTTGCTTCCTTAAAGTATTCTGAGAGTGTTTCAGGTGGGCTTTATGTGGGGTAGGTGTGACGGGAGCAGGGTTTGATTTAGGATAGAGATGTTGCTCATCTGTACTGTTTTGATAAGTAACTTCAAAAATGTTGCAGCTGAACAAAAATAATTTAAAATGAGCAATCTTTTGAAACAAGACCACAGTGCAGTCATTACCAATGCTGACATTTCTGTAACACATAGATGCACTAAATGAAATTTCCACTACTTTAATATTTTCCTCTCCTCTGTACCCCAACATCTGTGTGGGGAAATGTTGCTGAAGTATTGTATAATGTATTCGGATTGCTTTTATATACTCTTAAGTAAAATTGCTGCCCTGAACTAAATTGTGAATTCTATATAATGTTCTTATAATGGTCTTATTTCCGTCAGCATCAAACTATATAGCTGACCAGCTTTTAGCAGGTTTTTGGACCAAACTGTCATTAATTAATCAATTCCATATTTTTGTTTTTCGGCCAAAGCGTCTTCATTTGACACTATCATCTTGTGATTCTAAATCTTTCTCATGCTGGGTAAATGAAGATTTGTGAGGTACCTAATCCATTCCTTAAAAGAAACTGTGCAACAGTGTTCACAGCATCAGAGCTGCCCGTATTATATTCTTCTTGCGAAATGGCTTCTGACTTAAATGAGAGTATTAGCAAGTAGATGGAAAATACACTCAATCCTCTGTCCATCCAGTGATTGTACTGGCTGCACTTACCTTCTTGCAAAGGTGGTTAAATTTTTCAGTGTTGTTGCACCTGCTGCTCTGAAATTAAAGGGAAATCCTAGCTGGTTGCATACTCTGTTATCTAGCTGTTCTAAATACTTTTTGATGCTTTTGGGACATGGACCTGTGCTTACAATGTTGCATTAAAAAGGTGCGGTTTTCCTATTCCACTTTTTCAACTAAAAAGTGCAGAGTGTGTATTACTGTCTTCTCAGTAATGTAAATTATTTTTAGAAAGTATATTATAAAACTGTGCTGCAGAAAATGTTCACAAACACTAAATACCCTTAGTTTTTTCCTACTGCCAGCAGGTTACAGGCTCTGCACATTCCACTGAAGGAGAACTACAGTTGTGTAAAGGACCTCCAGTATTATTGCAGAGAAATAACTAAGTTGCTTTATTTCAGCCTGTGTGTGTAAAGTCATAGCATTCAAGCTCTTGAATACTTGAGTGTTATTTGCAAACTTTACCACTCTAAAGACTTTCAGTTGGTCTAATAGAAAAGCAGGTGGTTGCAGCTGATTACAAGTGCCCTCCTCTTCCCTCTGTTCCCTAGGAAGCTCATTCCTGCAAGAGCTGGCATTCAGCCCATACCTGCAGCATGCCAGTGCTTCCAGGAACCAGTTCTTCATAGAACTGTGCTCTTTACAACAAAGATTGAAATAAAACCTCCTATGCAATGATTAAATGTAAAATGAAAGATTTCCTCACTGAGGAGGCTTATTTCAGAAGTGTGTGGGTTTTTTTTTGGGGGGGGGGGCAAAATAATTTCTCAATATTTAAATATTAAGATACTCAAAAGGTTCAAAGCTGAATGCTGCCCTCTTTAAAGGGTGTAACAACTGAAGGTGGGGGTCCACTTTCATTTAAACGTGGAAGCAACAGGGCTTTGGATCAAGCACAGCATAATTTAATTCTTCAGGACTTGAATGCAGTGAACCTCTTGTAACTTATTTGGTTATACAGAATAGTTTGAAGCTTAACTCAAAAGGTAAGTCTTAAATTTTAAGTACTGACATGCTCCTTCTCCTAAAATAGAAGGCAAAATATCAGAGGATATGTTACAGAGCTATTTTACGGATAGCTTCTATGCTATGCTTTCTGCAAAAAAAAAAAAAAAAAAAATTACAGCTTCTGTCAAGTGTGGCCATTCTCATACCTCACTGTAAAATACTTTTTTCCTGCCACTTTAACTCCTGCCCTGACCGTTCTGATCTTAGTTTTACATAAGATGCAAGCCTTTTCAGCAAGTGACCAAATAGCCACTGATTACTATTAATGCCCTGCAAAATCAGATATAATAATTGCAAGTCAAATTCCCTCCCCTTCTTCTTCAAGAGAAAACAAGTATTCCAATGCTTGGCAAACTTTCTATGCCATATTACCTATTCAGCTATTACCTCCAACCACTTTGAGACACGCACGTTCTCTAGTAAAATAGACTCCATTCTACTCTCTCCCACAATAAGACATTTATTACATATATAACACAGTACTAGCAAAACAGGTGACAGACTTTAAAACCCAAGATCACATTTGACATTTTAAGGAGGCATTGAGGACAAGCAGGTAATTTGGGAGATCACACTGACTCAATAAATATCAAATACCTTTTTTCTATTACACACCAGGTATGGTTAAGTTAAGTGTCTTCAAACAATGTTTCTTACATATCTTACATGTCACAAATGCACAAAAACCTCATCAGTGTTTTGGGTTGTGTGGTGATTATTTATAACAAATATCAGGCTTACACCCATTTTTGTTTTAGGTGTTTGGCTTTCAACTGCTCACTGATATAATGGCTTGTCAAGTTTTGAACAGAGAGACAAATCAGCTGGGCAGAGAAAAAAAAATAAAAAGCTTAAAGACAGTGGTTCCTAACCTGCTTAGAAATTCCCCAATCTTCTCAAAAGCAGTGCTTTTTACTTAATACTTTAAGTAAGTAGATCATTTCAAATTAACTAGTACTTGACCTATTTTATGTTAACTAAAAGATAAGCTGTGCTAGCATTTTAGTTTGATAAGCAACTGATTTGCACACTTGTGAATGTGAAAATGTGAAATGCAGTATCTAGGATTCTGCAAACTATGGAAATGAACATTGTCACTCAGTTCTGTGGATGTGCAGAACTTGGTCACTACTCATTTATGTAGTTGTACAGTTGAAGATCACAGTAGATTCCGATACTAAAAAGGAGACTGAAACTGTGACTTTTAGCCTCCATACCTTTAGCTTAATGCTGTGTTAGGCAATTACTACATACAACTTATCAAAAGGATTGAGGAGAGGTTGTAACCAAATCAACGAATCTATTTAACTACCTTTTTCCTTTAAACAAGTGAAAATTTCAGCTCGTTCAGTACACCAAGATTACACAGAACTAAATCAGTGTTCATAAGAGTCACAGTACAACCACCTTTATTGAACCAATAGTAGTACAACATCTTAAACCAACTGTATTCTTGAATATGTAATACATCCTTAGGAGTAACTAGTATAAAAAGTATCAACATCAGTGGTTTGAATATAAAAATTTATTTAAAGTCAGAGTATGCAACAAATAAAACCTACAGAAAACAGATTTTCCCATCACAATCTGTTGCTTACCAAATAATATTGTGAAAACACATTCCTTCAGTCATTATAAAGTTCTTAAAATACAAAAGAAATTAAATTTTGTAAGAAAGTCTAGTAGACCAGAGACTGTTTCTTCCAGGATATTTTGCAGAAGCAAGGCCATCCTTCAATACATTCCACGCCATCCTCCTCCACCCATACTGCCTTGCCCATAGTATCCTCCACTATTTCCACTGCCACGACCTGCAAACAATTGACACAAGGTCACGTATACATACCTTAAAAAAAAGAAAAAATTTGATCGGTGATACAAAAACAGTTGGTTTGGCACGAGCTTAAGTCACACAACAATAACAATAATTCAGCAATACTTTTCTAAACAAGCATTTGCTGTAGTTGCCAAATGCATGAAAAACTGGAAGCGATTTATGATTTAAGTTAAATAATACCCCCTCCCATTTCTCAAAGCACAAACACCCTGTCATCACAAGAAACCCACCCCTCCAGATCTTGTCAAATGTTAATGCAGCAACATAGCCATCAAATACATAACAAAAGTGTTACTTACTATATCCGCCCAAGCCATCAGGAGTTCCATAACCTCCGCTGTAATTGCTACCCATTCCCATTCTACCAACAGAGCCATAACCTTGATCTGAAAAGCAGAACGTGCATCGTTACAAACTTGGAACTCACTACGCTTGACAAAAATCAGCTAAACCTGAAATTGATGCATACCCATTCCATCTCTGCCATAGCCACCCATTCCAGAACCACCTCCAGCAGTTGAGTTCAGGAATAGTTCAATATACCGATGCTCTGTAAGAAACAAACAGAATGACCTGTGTTTCAATTCAAAAATGGAAAGCAGAGATACAAAGTCGAAAAACCCTCACAGGCAGCAGCTTCACCAGCCTGAAGTCTACAAAAAGCGAGTTTGAAATATAACCAACAGCTAGTGATTCTAATGAACAGCAAAAAGTCTATTACAATTTGCATATTTACTGCACAGTAACTTAAATGGTACGGCGTTAAAACCCTTCTATTCAGTTTACTTTTACATACCCAACTAAAGAACAGTCAATGAAAACCTCCTGTGAACACAACACTCACGCATGTGATTTTTATCCTTGGACATGGCAGCTACTGCATCCTCATGTGTTACAAATTCCACATTTGCTTCCTCTTATGGGGTTCAATGGTGAGAAAAACTAAGGACAAAAATAAAAATCTTGTGAACTTAAGAATTCCAGCCAGGCACATCTTTTGCTATCCCAGTAGTTAGCTGAGCACCGCATTTACATCTCATCCTATCAAATAAATCTAGCTAGTTATTTCCTAAGCGTTAGTGACGTTGTACTGTAACATTATAAGCCGCTTTTGATTTACTATTACACCATTTGAAAAGCTCTAGCAACAAAGATCAAGGAGACTTTTTTAAAACATACATACAAACAAAAATACCTGCCCACACACAGTGCTTTAAGCAACAGGTTCTAATACGAAGCCTTCCTGCAAAAGGAAGATCATTATTTTTCTTTCTATTTGGCTTTACTCCTCCAAAAAAAGTCCTCAAAGCAGGCTTGTATTCATATTAAGAGTACTGTTCAATCAAATTTATTTTCCTTGCTTCAGCAGTCAAAACTCAAAGCACCAAAAAGAAACAGTGGTATTTCTGATCAACAGCCGTTTGAGCAAACAGTATGTGCAAACAAACCTCCGGTACATTACCAAATACTATTCGCCAAGCTTTCAACTTGCAGTAACATACTCTCAATTAAAGCCTAAAGCCTAGTCCTGGTATTCAGAGGCTTTAGACTAAAGCAAACAGTCAAACTGATAGGAGTAAATACTGCTCATAAATAATAATAAAAAAAATTAAAAAGCACATCTGGAAGAATGAAGAGTCTTAGATGCACCTAACATAGGTGCAATTAATAAAAACGGTGCCCCCCGTAGAGGCTGCGCTCAGATCAGGCCCTCCACCGCAGGCAAATTTTTTCCCCTACAGAAGACAGCTCCAGACTGCCAAAGATGTACTCCTGAAACCTTGCGGATGTTCTTCGTCTGCCACCCTGATCTCTTATAGGTAACGTGACCTCTCCCTGCTACCCCCAAATGAACACTGCTCACTACGGTTCTCCCACTCTGTCCCTCCCAGAAATATATAAATATACTAACCTGCAAACTAAAAATCAAAGTTACACACCTGCTATCACTCCTTCACATAAGTCTTTAAGTTTAAATTAACTTCTGAAGACATTATAAAATGAGGATACTAAAAGCAACAACCATCTCTCCAATACATTCTCATGGAAATAAGTAAGCAGGGAGCATGAAGATTAATGTTAAATAAAATGTGGCTAACTTCTTCAATAAACTTACCTCAAGTATTAACTTTATAAAAGTTCATTTACTATTCAGTTTTGTAGCACTCATGTTAATAGGCATAAATTTAATTGGCAGACATATTAGACCTATCAATCACTTGGCTGAGAACTATAGCCAAGTTTGAAACAGGACAAACAAAAACAAGAGAACTTCTGGCATTAGAAGGCTCTTTTTTCTAGGATACTTACATTAGCAATATCATTTTCTGTTGCTCGAAAAGGCAGTCCTCTCATGTGAACAAAATGACCACCACCATGGAAACCCGAACCTGCATCTCCAGCTCCGCCATAGCCATGTCCTCCCATGCCTATTAAAAAACAAAATCAAAAAATTTACCTATAAGAACCGAAGAAAAGCCAGAAGAGCCATCACTACTATTTTCTTCTGCGTGCCACTATATGCTATTGAATGTTACATGTTTACACTACCAGTATTACCAACCCACTTAACTGAGAGATAACCTAAACAATACATTTACATTTTCCAGAGATTCCCCCTTTTCCCTTTAACTTTTTTTAAAGGAAAAAAAAAAAAGAAATAAACCATTATTTCTGTCTTGCAAATACTATGTCTAACAATTGAAATGATATAAAGATTTCTTTAAATAAATCTTTTTTTTTTTTTTTTACCTCTCCCATCTCTCATTCTGTCATCATAACCATCATTTCCATAGCCATAGTTATTATAGCCACCATAATCATCAAAGCCACCATATCCTGTACAATTGACAGAAAAAAAAAAAGTGTGATTACATTATTACTAAATATTCATGAAACAATGTACAAGAGTTAATTTTCAGTCTTCGGGCACCCAAAAATCTGCAGTTGCCTCTATAGACTGCTAAACCTGGATTTCTGAACAGACTGGAAGTGTAAAATTCTTTTTTTATAGGGAAAAGGCTGAAGCATGCAGGTAAGATTTTCAACTGTGCTGAAAACAGTCTTCTTATTACTTCCACAACTCTTAAATACTAAGCTGGAATTTTTGATATGTTATTTCAAATAATCCCTTTTAGAGACGTTTTCAAACCTAGCAGGTACTGAAGCTACTGCCATTTCTTTATTTCTTGTCAAAGGTGTCAGAAACATGAAACTGACAACAGAACCTCCATTCATTAGATACACATACCACCGTCATATCCACCACCTCCTCGACGCATTCTGTCATACATACTTCCACGCCCAGCTCCATAATAACCCCCTCTTCCTCCTAATGGTCTATCATATGGTCCAGGTCGTTGTTGTCCCATCATTCTTCTTGGTGGCTCATAGAATCCTCTGATTTCGCTCTTACTACTTTTGAAGATTTCAATATATCTAAATAAAAGAGGATTTTCAAGGTACAAATAAGAACACATGCATAAGCTGTCTGAATATCACAAAAGGCCATACTAAATTATTTTCTATAACTAAATGTACAATCCAATAAAAATGACTAAAGATGCCATACAACTTAAGTTTCTCCTCAAAACCTTAAGAATCTTAAGTGTATCAAAGAAACTTTTACATTAGTAAAATTTACTATGTGCAAATACTAACTGTACAAATTAAACATAAAAGATGTCTTTCCAGTACGAAAAACATACTGTTGAAAAGCAATGTCTGGCTATAGTGGCATTTATCACAAATTACCCTACGCAAAAACGATTGAAACAAAATTCTGATTTTAGCAAACTACACAGAGTATTACTGTCTCCCCCACCCCCCAAATCTACTATATTCCCAAGTTAACTTAGGATCAATTATAAAAATTCTTAAAAAAAAATAGCCAGTTCAATATTATGGTCCCCAACCCCCCCCAAAGCATTACTGACCCACAACCCCCAAAAAAATAAAGATTTAACACCATCCCAAACTCTCCATCCCCACCTGTGCCCTATTCTTTCCTTGTGTTTCCCCAGAGCATTTTCTGCTATCTCCTTTGAAGCAAACTGCACGAAGGCCTCCCCTGTGCTTCTCCCCTGGTAGTCCAGCGTCAATGTTATCCCATTTGGCACGATTTCCAACCCTTTAACCCAAGGACAAATAACCCCATCAAGGGGAACAGTGTTAAAGGCTGAAACATTCCCATCTGTAGCAAATACTTAAAGCATATCTAAACAACAACAACGAAAAAAACCAAAAAACTTAAGTTTCCCCCATCTCCCAACAATACAAGCCAATGATCTTTCATTAAACATTTATGGATTTAGCCATACATGTTTTCTCTTTAAACTATACAAGAAAAATACAACCACCTAAACACAAAAAAAAAAATAGAGCTACCAAACAAGTAATTTAATGGCTCCAAATACTAACATATAGATTATTTCAATATACATAACACATTTATCACCTTGACAAAGTTAGATAGATACTCAGCTTTACTACAGCTACTGTTATTTGTACTTTAATTACTGGGCATAAATCTTATTTAGAGAAAGATAAGCTAGTTTTACACCATCCCTCCCGCCCACCCCATTAACGGGTATAACAAATTAAACTGTGAAACACTGTGCAACAGATACAAGAAAACTCAGTCACTATACTTCGACTATACTAGAGATACCTTGGAAAAACTGAACAATCTCTTCTTTGCTGCAGCCAAAGGGCAGACCTCGAAGTCGTACTACTGTTCCATCATTAGTTGTATCATTTGGCCCATTATGTTTTCCGCTCCAGTCCATCTTTTATTTCAACCAAACCCTACAAAAAAAACAAAGAAAAAATTTTGAGAATCCCCGTATGCTTAAAATATACCCTCCTTGCAAAACTAAGCACGTTAGTTTTTCCTTCAAAAATGTGACATTATGCATTACGTTTCTTTGTTACGTACTTAAACCGCACTTCACGATACAGAGAGCATGCGTGCACCTAAAAACATACCAAACTTCGATACTGAGCTCAGTGCGTAAAGCGCACCGCGGACGTGCGTGCAGTACACGAAGCTCGTTATTTGCTCAGGCTACAGTGAGCGGTTATCCCCTAAGCGCACTATCCTCCCACCCCAAACAAAAAAGAAACAAAAATCAAAAGTGTGCGACGCTTCAAGAAGGGGCAGGAACCACAGGGAGTTGCAAGCTCTTCCTTTGTCTGCCAACCGAGTTGCCACGGGCCACGCTCCCGTTCGCTTTTTTCTTTAAAGGCTTCCCCAGAAAAACCGAGCGTGCTTTGTCTCGAATGAAAAAAAAAAAGAGAGAGAGACACAGGGAGCAGCCAGGTCGCCCCCTCACCGCCACCATGAGCTACAGGGGCACC